GACAGGATTGACCCTCGTTGGAAGAAACCCTGCTATGCTAGAGGATTTCCTTGGTGCGCTGATGAGGAACCTGGTACCTCATCAGCAACCTCTACCATCTATGCAGCTCCGCTCCCTTCGCCTCCCATTTCTGAACTCAATAACAAATTGGCCCTCAGCACCATTAGGCAGAATCCTTATTTATTTAAAATCGTCACTCCTATCAACATAACTTGCTTTGAAGAACTTTTGCAGCATCACCTAACCAGCCATACATTCAATCTGTCTGTCAGGGCCTAAGGGAAGGTTTTTGGCCCCATGCGATGATTCCCCTGGATTCCCCTGACACATTTGATTTCTCCGATTGGCCTCAATCAGAGGAGGCCCCTCAACATGACAAAGAAATCAAGGCTGACTGTTTTTTTCCCCTCCTTTGGCCCTGACCTACTCCTAGGCATGTTTAGTAGCCCCATCAGGGCCATACCAAAACCCCACTCCTCAGGGATGTGGCTTATCACAGACCAGAGTGCTGGCCCACACTCCCTCAACTCATTCATTCCTAAAGAGGCTGTGGCAGTACAATATGACAATATGCATGATCTAGGAAAGCTCTTATGAAAGGTTCACAAAAAGCACGGTCAGGCACCAGCATATTTATTTAAAAGTGACTGCTCGGAAGCTTTCCAATGTATTTCTATGCATGCACTATGGCAAATCCATCAAATTTTCACTATAGATGGCCAGCAACATGTAGACCAATGTCTGGTATTTGGGAACTGTGGCACTCCCAATATCTGGTGCACCTTTATGGGTCTCGTTGTTTGGATTGCAATTTTTATCCAAAACATCGATGACCTCCTCCACTACATGGACGATGCTTTCGGTTATGAAATGGACCTGACCTGGAGTACTATGTGCCCTATGACACACATTACCCTAAGAAGCAGGTTGCTTTTCTCCGCTTATGGGATGAGCTAGGCCTACTCCACAATGTCAAAAAACAGGAGTTCGGGCCTTCACTCATTATTATTGGTTTTCGCATAGACCCATCCTGCATGTCTATGACCATTTCACACACCACAAGAGAGGAGCTCATGTCAGCAATCCTGCAATTCATTGACTCCTCCACCAGTAGGTGTTGCCCACTTTACCAATGGTAATGATTACTAGGATGGGCAAACTGGGCCCTGAATGTCTTCCCATTGTTATGCCCTGCACTGCAATCTTCCTACTCCAAGATTGCCGGTAAGACCCTGTGCAATGCCAGCATATCTCTCAACAGAGCCGTCATCTGCGACCTTGCTTGGTTTGCCAATCACGTGCACAATGCACATGGTTCCTATTTCTTTGTGAACAAAGAGTGGGAGTTTGTACAAGCGAACCTGATTATCCTGTGTGACGCATCAATGGTCGGACTAGGTTTCTATGTCCCTGCGAAAGCCCTCAGCTTCGCATCCGGTATCCCCTCCAATCCCCTCATCTCAAACATCCATTTCTATGAAGCATTGAGAGTCGCCTCTGCCATTGCAAGGGCTGCCGCCCTACCTACCCCTCTGCACTGTCTGCTCGTATACACTGTGTTTAGACATGATCTCTGTGACTTTATAAATACCTGTATGAGTTTTCATAACTCATTGGAGACACCTCCACCCGTGGGAACACCCGCGTGCGGGTACCCGTGACTTTAGGCGCCGGGTATTCACCTGTTTCTCACGGGTGGTACCCACAGGTACCCGCAGGTATGTGATACCCGTGCTCAGCCCTACTGACGTCCATGCCACACGTGCCTCCCTTGTCATTGTATGTTCTCTTGCAGGCATGAAGAAACTCTGAGGTCTTCAGCCTACCAACTAAAAATGGGCCCTCACTCATGAAGATCTTCTCGTTATTATTCACCTCCTGCCCCCTGACCCCCCCTATGAAGACCTTCTGTTTGTTGCCATGTTACTCACCATCTTCAGTCTACTATGCCTTGGTGAGCTGACATTTCCTGACAATATCCACAAACGCTCCTTCAAGAAATTGACCTTGTGTCACACCTTATCACTAGAAGTGACTTGCTTCTCGTTTTCCTTGCCGTTCCATAAGGCAGATTGTTTTTATGTGGGTAATACGGTTATGATCAAGTCCCTTCCTAACTCACCTATCAACCCCCTCTCCCACCTCCGAGCCTACCTCACTTGACATGATGCTTCATTCTCCCTACTCTCAGCACTATGGTTGACACCGCAAGGGCTTCCACCCACCTATTCATGGTTTGTATCTTGGCTACAGCGCTTTCTCGGAGATGAAGTAGCTGATCATTCCTTACGATCAGGTGGGGCTACTGCTCTTGCCCTGGCTGGTATTAGTGATAGTGCAATTCAAGCTATGAGCAGATGGAGCTCAGATACATGGAGAATCCATATTCAGAAGCATCCTGTACTATTACAAGCTCTCATGCACGGTCACTCGGTGTTCCAAATCCCCTCTCTTACCACCACCCACTCCTCCCTTCCTACTCCTTCTAGGGAATAGGAGAATTATCAAGAATAAAATACATCTGGATGATGCTAAGCACTGAGTCTCACCTATCCACCGCTATCCTGATATATTCTGCAACTCCACCAATTTGTTCAAGTTTAAAATCTCTTGTTTACACGAAGTGAATTGGATGAGATGCCCGTTACATCGTTGCCTTGACCCGCGCCGTGACTTCCCTTCTTCCTATACTCTTCAAGCAATCTGTTCAAGGTTGTGTAAGGGGGCGTGCAATTTGCAGCCCCTGAAATGCGCAGCCTTGTGGGATCACCCGCTGCCTTAGTATAAAGAAGGAGAGGGGTACCACTCTTACCCCATTCCCCAATTAAACCTTTCTAGGTATGTTCCCTGCCGCCATCGAGGAATCCGTGTACTAACCTGGGACTCGCTAGTCTCCCGCGATACGCTATTTTTGCTTTCCCACCCACCGCTACCTTCAATTGTTTTGTTTATCCTTTCACTTTTTCAAGTTATCACGTTTAAAGTCTCATGTATCTCGTCTCTGTCCACTCCTCATTTCTCCATTACCTTGTACGCCGTCTGTTTATTCCTTTGTTGCTGCTCATATTTTGTATTGATTTGGAGAATTATCAAGAATAAAATACATTTGGATGGTGCTAAGCACCGAGTCTCACCTACCCACCGCTATCCTGATATATTCTGCAACTCCACCAATTCGTTCTTGGTAGTCTAACGAATGCACGAGCTTTGACACATACATCCCTGTTCAATTGTTCAGTGAAGGATATCAATCAAACTTTTCGATATGGCAGGGTGTGAAGACTATGAGATAGAAGAACATATGATATGTACCGTGTCAGTAAATGTACCAGGTACGCGATGTCACGCACGTTTCTCTCATCCTCAATTCTGGAATTCGCCTTCCCAGAATCCAAGGCAGAGCGGAACAACCCAATAATATCCATAGAATCCATAGTATCGTGGAAACAAACAGAAGAAAGGACCATCACTTACGATTTTGAGATTCTGTCAATTTTAGTGATTTTCAGTGGCCCGAGCTCCTTCGGGCATCGACAGGACCATGAATCACTCAAATCCAGACCAACGGTCGCGATACTCCTAGAACAAAGTAATGAGCGTGTTATGGAGTCTCCGGTAGTAGCGGAGAGTACATACATGAATCGTTTTACAAAATGAACAATATAACGTTTAAATATTTTCATTTTCATTCTCATCTTGGATCAGTTACGACGGCTAGAACGGATAAGGCGACACATCAGTAAAGTTGGCAAACGCTATAAAGGCAATTATAGCGTCCATAGCGTCCATAGCGTCCATACTTTATGTACACTATGATACTGTCCATAGCGTCCATGGCAAATGGCTCTATTTTCAGTATGATAGCTGCAGTGGAAGCTATGGACGACTATCATAGGAACACTAACGGCCGGTAGACTCAATAGCAGATAATATTTATTCCTTCTGATTTTTCGATTATTCAGAAAATGTTATTAAATATATAAATCAAATGGTTTTATTCATGTAAATATATACAGTTAAATACA